AATTCAAGACTAGCCTGGCCAACATGGTACAACCCCATCTCTAGTAAAAATACATTAAGGCTGGGCACAGTGGCTCACACCTGTAATCCCAGCACTTTGGGAGACCAAGGTGGGTGGATTGCCTGAGCTTAGGAGTTCACAACTAGCCTGTGCAACACAATAACACCCGGTCTCTACTCAAATATAAAAAATTGGCTGGGTGTGGCAGTGTGTGCCTGTAGTTACAGCTACTCGGGAGGCTGAAGCAGTAGAATTGCTTGACCCCGGGAGATGGAGGCTGCAGTGAGCTGAGATCACACCACTGCACTCCAGCCTGGGCAACAGAGCAAGACTCCATCTCAGAAACAAAAAAATTAGCCCAGCATAGTGGTGCACGCCTGTATTCCCTGCTACTCTGAAGGCGGAGGTAGGAGAATCACTTGAACCTAGGAGGCAGAGATTGCGGTGAGCCAAGATTGTGCCATTGCACTCTAGCCTGGGCGACAACAGCAAAACTCTGTCTTGGGGGAAAAAAATAGAAAATAAGCAAATTGTGTGAGAAATGATGTGTTTCCTCTGTTTTCACACTAAGAGCTTACTGTACTACAGCTATTAGTACAGTAAGTTCTAAACCTGGCTTATTATTTACCTGGCTAATTATTATTAAATAGTATATTCTTTGGATGTGCTATTTAAGTTCCCTGGGTCCTTGTTTTTTCTATCTGTAAAATGGGAAAATCTGCACTTGTCTCATGGGACTGTTAACAGGATTAAGGAAGATAATCTATGCAAAGCTCCCAACAGAGTATTTGGTCCAAAGCACACACTCAATAAGTAAATGTTAGTTCCCCTCTCCACCACTCCACCAACAACCAAAAAAAAAAAAAAGCCCAGGCATGATGGCTCATGCCTGTAGTCACAGCACTTTGGGAGGCAGAGGCAAGCAGACTGCTTTGGCCTAGGAGCTCTAGACTACCACCGCCCTGGGCAACAATATTGAGACCCCATCACTACAAAAAATACAAAAGTTAGCAGGGCATGGTGGCGCACACTTGTCCCAGCTACTTGGGAGGCTGAGGTGAGAGAATCATTTGAGCCCAGGAGGTCAAAGCTGCAGTGAGCCAAGATCGTGCCCCTCAACTTCAGACCTTGTCTCAAGGGAAGGGGGAAAAAAAAAAAAAACAAGAAAAAGAGAAAAGCCAGGCATTGTGGCATGAGCTTGCAGTCCCAGATACTCAAGAGGCTGAAGTGGAAGGACTGCTTGAATGCAGGAGTTGGAGACCAGCCTGGGCAACACAGAGAGACCATAAAAAACATTAAATGAAATTAGAATCTAAGAAAGAAAATTACAAATGAAAGGATCTTGATGTGGGATGTATGCCTTTTGGCTAATCTTCATAAATTTTACCCATTGCAAAAAGGCATACAACCCACATCAGGAGCCCTTCATTTGGCCAGGCGCAGTGGCTCACACCTATAATCCCAGCACTTTGGGAGGTCAAGGCAGGTGGATCACCAGGTCAGGAGTTCAAGACCAGCCTGGACAACATGGTGAAACCCTGTCTCTACAAAAAAATATAAATATTAGCCAGGTATGCTGGCGGGCACCTGTAATCCCAGCTATCTGGGAGGCTGAGGCAGAAGAATCGCTTGAACCCAGGAGGCAGAGGTTGCAGTGAGCCAAGATGACACCATTGCACTCCAGGCTAGGCAACAGAGCAAGACTCCGTCTCTAAATAAATAAATATTGGTACACTGTATGATATGTGAATTATACTTTAATAAATCTGGGATATTTTTTAACCTTATTGCATCTAAAGTTTAGTAAATCAAATTAGGACTGTTCAAAAAAATACTGTCATCTAGAAAACAGGTGACATTAGTCTGTATGTGTATATAAACTTCGAAGTCTTTTGTAAGAATCTTTAAGCAATTTATCATGTTTCTATCTTTTTACTCATTACATAAAATGAGTATCTTATATCCTGTGCATCTGAAGTGATACCAGCTATGTACTATCTCCTTAGAATTGAAGAGAGTCACTCAATTTTCTGTAGAGCTTATCTTGTGGAACTCTCACTGATATATATTCTTTTAAAACAAATAGAACACTTATAGCAATTGACTACATCCAGCTCATAAAGCAAGAACTGGTATCACACTGGTATCACTTCATCTGTCAACAATACAATCAAGCAGGTGCAGTGGCTCATGCCTGTAATTCCAGCACTCTGGGAGGCTGAAGTAGAGGAATGGCTAGAGCCCACCCTGGGCAACAAAGAGAGAACCTAACTCTACAAAAGATTTTAAAAAATGCACCTACAGTCCCAACCACTTAGGAGGCTAAGACAGGAGGACCACTTGAGTCTCGGAGGTCAAGGCTGCAGTAAGCCATGGACATGCCACTGCACTAAAGCCTGGGTGTCAAAGATCTTGTTTCAAAAATAAATGCAATCAAGTTATAAATCAATAAAAGATAACTTTTGTAAAGGTCAGCCATAAAAAAGTCTATTACTGTGCTGTTTACTTCTAATGTACACATGTATGTAATGCATAGATATACATAGTGGCTTGAGAATGTTACTTGACAAGAAAATGAAATGAGGTTGGATATGCTTGCATACTGCCAACAAATTTCCTTATTAAATTTAATACATTAGTTTCTCAGAAACTGTATATAATCAATGATATTTAAGAACATTAAAGAGTTTGCTATTTAAAGGATTCAGAGTAAATCTTCTTGTACTACAATTATTGCCTAACTTGTCTGCTCTCAGTTCTTTCAAAAGCTTATTCTGTATTTAGCACAGTTCTCAAGGCACTATCACTATCTAGGAGAGTATAATCCATCAGAAGCTTGCATGATACAAAACAATGCAAGAAAGGAATTTGGTACTCTGGTCAATGCCAAGGTCAGCATTTCCCCAAAGTGTTCTAATTCAGCAAGCCAAAGCCTGGAACCAGTCCACAGCTTTCTCATCATTGTAAATTTATCCTTGAGCAGTTCCTGAAAAAGAACTTCAGCAGAAAAATGAGCATTAATCACCTAAGGCAAATAAGTAGCTTAAAAACCTGAAAGACAACCAATAATCTTCCAACTACTAAAATGGTGGGCCAAGTCATACTTCTTCCTTTTCTTCTCAGCACTAAATATCACAAAATGACTCTTTTTTTTTTAATTTAAGGCAAGGTCTTGTTCTGTTGCCCAGGCTGGACTGCACTGGTATGATCATGGCTCACTGCATCCTCAACCTCCTGGGCTCAAATTATCCTCCCACCTCAGCCTCCCAAGTAGGTGGCACATGCCACCACACTCAACTAGTTTTTTGTATTTTTTGGAGAGAGAGGATTTCGCCATGTCACCCAGGCTGGTCTCAAACTCCTGGGCTCAAGCAATCTGCCTGCCTCAGGCTCCCAGAGCACTGGGATTACATGCATAAGCCACCATACCCAGACAAGACTTTTTAAAAAGACTCAGTACTCAAATACCTTACTTGCATAGCCTAGGCAGTAAGATTCAGACTAAACCAAGTGTCCATTTCTTACACTGTGATATTTTTTCTTCCCAGTTCCTCCCACCCTGTCTAGTTCTCTTTTCAGACCTGGACATAGTACAGGCAACACCATATTCTTTGCTTATTTGTAAAAAAGGCATGATCTTGCCTAGTTTTCTTTTTAACTGTAACCACTCATTTGCTTGAGAAAAAATAGTTACGTGCAAATATTAAACAAAATATTAAATTTTAATTTAGACTGGAATCAGTGGGTCACATTTGTAATCTCAGCACTTTGGGAGGGCAACATGGGCAGATCACTTAAGGAGTTGGGAGACCAACCTGGGCAACACACCTTTACAAAAAATACAAAAATTAGCTGGGCATGGTGGTGTGTGCCTGTATTCCCAGATACTCAGGAGGCTGAGGTGAGAGGATGGCTTGTGCGATCTCAGTTCACTGCAACCTTGCCTCCCCAGAGGCGGAGGTTGCAGTGAGCTGAGATCGCACCACTGTACTCAGCCTGGGCAACAGAGCCAGACCTTGTCTCAAAAAAAAAAAATTACTTAATTTAGATACTGATTATATTGCCAAGAGATATGTATGTATGAAGTTATACACAAGTATCTGGTATAACTACACCATTTGTGAGTGTGCAAGGCCCTGCTCCATCTCATTCTATGAGTAGATTCGTAAGAGGGAAGAGGGGGGAACTATTTCAGTATATTAATATACAAGCTTGACGTTTGAATTATATGATCCTGACCAAGGCTGACAAGGGGGACTTCCAGAACCCCAAGAGCTCCTTTGTAATTCAGCCTTGAGTGGCTAATAACATGAGACAGAATTTTTACTCTCTGATCACAAAATGAGAATGCTGAATTATATAACAGGAGCTGTAACTATGCGCACCACGACTAGATGGAGCACAGAATACAGGGGTGAAGATGATGCCTAGCACCAAACTCCCATGCAAATGGACTGGGGTCATTGGAAGCCAGACATGAGATAGGGTAAGAGTTATCAGCTAAAATAAAAATAACAGGTTAAATATAAAGCTAGATATAGTAAGAATGTACAGAAACATTATGAAGGCCAACAAAAACAGTCTGAAGAAGGAAGAGAAGTGTTCACTAAACTGACTAAAATATAAAAACCAAATACAAAAAAAAAAGAAAATATTTTACATAAAATATAAAAAGCAAACACCCTTTAAATGAAAAGATTCTCTGGTCATCCTGTTCTATATACTTTGTACTATATACATAAACACACATTACTACTAATCCCTCATTAGGCCAATACCGAGTGCCTGCTTGGAAAGTCAGGCACTGGTGTAGGCACTTGGGATGTGGCAAAGCAGACAAAGGTCCCCTTGTGGAGCTTAGACTGGAGGAACAATAAAGATTATTCCGTAATAATGAGATTCTACAGAATGTTAGAAAGTAGAAGGAAGGCGCGGGGGGGGGGGGGGGGGGGGAGGGGGAAGGGAAGGGGATGGGGGGGAGGAGGAGGAGGAGGAGTTGTTGTTATTGTTGTTGTTGTTGTCAAAGTCATCAGCCCTACAGATATCTTGGGAAGAGCTTGTTCCAGGGGGAGCCCTTCAGGAAGAGAAAATAGCTATGCAAATCAATGAATTGAGAAACATAAACATGTTCTAGGCTTTAACACTCAAGCAAATCTCAGGCTTCTCCCACTCATTCATTTTTAAAAGGTAATTTTTGGCCGGGGAGGGTGGGGTGGGGAGGAGGGGAATAGGTGGCAACACCTGGATTTTACAGAAACCATTCTAAAAACAAGCCACTGATTTAAAAACTTATCTATTAAAATGGTTATCTAAAGAGGTAGGTAAGAGAATGTTCTGCTGAGCTGTCCAACAGGGGGAAAGATGATCTTGCAGGCAGTAATCCCAGGCCAGGTGCACCACACCCAGCCTCCAGCTAACAGACCTTCACTCCCAACACCTGAAGTACCTCTAGTTTATGAATGATAATAGGGAGATTTGCCTTTCTCATTTGCAAAATATTATTGATACCCACATGAATGCACACTACAACAAGGGCATTTCTGTGAAGAACAGGAAATCTATTCATTCTAGTATCAACACAGTTAAATAATTTAAAAAGTGAATTCACAGAAAATATTTTGTCCTCATTCAACACTAGCTGGTAGGAAGGGGCCAGGGCTGGTTCTGGAAATCACTTGAGATGTCAAAAGATGTCTGAATCAACTGTCCTGATTCTATCTATAAAAACTGAGGGGGCAGAGACATAATTCAAACATACATGATTCCTGAATTTACTTGTCTCCTACTCTGAATGAGTAAAATTAATTCCTAACCCTTGTGAAAATAGCTCTTTCTGATTCTATAAACTTGATACCATCTCTGACATTTGAGGTAGCTTACTAATTAAAAACAAAGGTTCTCAATATTTCAAATTTTTTTTCCTGCTCAGTCAAGCTGCAGGAAATGGAAGCAGTTGAATGTGAATATAAATACGGATGTCCTTAGAGAACTGCTGTCATAAATTACATGATCAGGAAAAGAGCAAAACAATACAAAAGATCATAATCTCAAAATCTCCTACTGCCATCACAGAAAACAGGTAATTTTTATAAAAATGGTGTTGATGATAGCTGTTACATCAATAAATAACAGTGCCTACAAGTTCCCTGGACAAAGGCTCTGATTACACCCTGTCAAGCTTTCTATGTTATAGTATATGAATATCTGGTTAAAATTAAGAAACAATGAAATCAGACCATCCCTTGAGGGGAAACAATTGTGCAGTGCTGCAGTATTCAAGAGTTTGGTTTTTTGTTTGTTTGTCTGAGACTGAGTCTCGCTCTGTCACCCAGGCTGGAGTACAATGGCACAATCTCAGCTCAATGTAACTTCTACCTGCCAGGTTCAAATGATTCTCCTGCCTTAGCCTCCCAAGTAGATGAGATTACAGGCATGCACCACCACACTCAGCTAATTTTTTTTATATTCAGTAGAGACAGGGTTTCACCACGTTGGTCAGGCTGGTCTCGCACTCATGAGCTCAGGTGATCCACCCGCCTCAGCCTCCCAAAGTGTAAGGATTACAGGCATGAGCCAACGTGCTCAACCTGTTCAAGAGTTTTTAAATTTTATTTATTTATTTATTTAGAGACGGGGTCTCACTCTGTGACCCAGGCTGAAGTTCAGTAGTGCCAACTCGGTTCACTGCAACCTTCACCTCCGGGGGTTAGGCAATCCTCCCGCCTCAACCTCCTGAGTAGCTGGGACTACAGGTGCACACCATCATGCCCTGCTAATTTTTGTATTTTTTGGGTAGAGATAGGGTTTCACCATGTTGATCCTGAACTCCTGAACTCAAGCAATCCACCCACCTCAGACTCCCAAAGTGCTCGGATTACAAGCATGAGCCACTCTGCCTAGCCAAGAGTTTTTTTTTTTACTGTTTAAGTGTTGACCCAATACTTCTAGTAATCTGCTCCAGAGAAAGACAACGTGTCCACTCAATGTGATTTTTATAGTAACAACCAAGAAAAATATAAATGTTTAGCAACCAAAAACAGCTTTTAAAATTATCTTGGGACTGAGCACAGTGGCTGACGCCTGTATTTCCGGCATTTTGGGACAAAGCGGTAGGATCACTGGAGCCCAGGAGTTTGAGACCAACCTGAGCAACATAGTGAGATCCTATCTCTACAAAAAATTTTAAAAATTAACTGGGCACCAGGCGCAGTGGCTCACACCTATAATCCCAGCACTATCGGAGGCCGAGGCGGGTGGATCACGAGGTCAAGAGATCGAGACCATCCTGGTCAACAAGATGAAACCCCATCTCTACTAAAAATACAAAAATTAGCTGGGCATGGTGGTGCGCACCTGTAGTCCCAGCTACTCGGGAGGCCGAGGCAGGAGAATTGCTTGAACCCAGAAGGCGGAGGTAGCAGTGAGCCGAGATCATGCCATTGCACTCTAGTCTGGGTAACAACAGCAAAACTCTGTCTCAAAAAAAAAAAAAGGAAAATTAACTGGGCATGGTAGCACACACCTGTGTTCCCAGCTACTCGAAAGGATGGCTTGGGGCCAGGATATTGAGGCTGCAGGGACCCATGATCATGCCACTACACTCCAGCATGGGTGACAAAGGAAGACACCACACACACACACACACACACACACACACACACACCATGGAATATTATGTAGCCAGCGAAGAGGATATTGACTAAGAATTCCTCAAGTAGACATAACTCTGTTTAGGAAGAGATCTTTTTAATAGACCACATAGTACTGTGTAAAATCATTGCTGTTGGAATAAATGAGCTGGTTGGTGATCTGGTTCTACTCCTAACTAGCTGTGTGAATCTGTCAAATGGGAATATAAATATCCACTCAGCTACATCGGTGTTTCCTACTGTGTGAGAACAAAAGGAAAGTAATAAATCTGAGCCAGGTGCAGTGGCTGTATGTAATCCCAGCACTTTGGGAAGCCAAGGCAGGAGGATCACTTGAGGTCAAGAGTTCGAGACCAGCCTGGCCAGCATGGTGAAACCCCATCTCTACTAAAAATATAAAAACTAGCTAGGTGTGGTGATGTGCCTATAGTCCCAGTTACTCAGGAGGCTGAGGCAGGAGAATCGCTAGAACCCAGGAGGCAGAGGTTGTAATGAGCCAAGATTGCACCACTCCAGCCTGGGTGACAGAGCAAAATTCTGTCAAGAAAAGAAAAGAAAGGCGGGGAGAGGAGGGATCTGAACACATCTTAGAAGATGGTGGTAAAGGATTATCATCAAAATCAAAGCTGCATCTGAAAGAAAAAATTAAAAAGGGAACGGAGATGTTTTATATTCTCATTAGAGGAAGGAGAGCAGGCTGCTTTATAAAAGCACTCATTTATAGAATAAAAGAGAAATGAAGCAGTGGCAGTCATGAGGAATCTCGTGTTGCAAAAGGATACATTTTACACCAATGTGATAAGTAGTGGAAAAGCCAGGTAAAATAATATGTTCCAGACACCTCTAAGAAGAGGATAGGATGGGGGGCAAGTTGAGAGAGGGAAAAAGAGGGTAGTGTGAGGAACAGAAGGCAGGCCAACAAAAGGACTTGCATTAAGATTCTCCCCAAGGGTGTAAGTCTAGGATTAAAATTACTTAACAAAATTACATTCAAGAAGACTACATCTTGTGATACAGGCTGAATCCAGTGTTCCCAAGACAGTATCATCCTTATTACCTTAATTAGGTGGCTTACCCAGTTTTTATAAATGATCAGGATTCCTGGTCTCAACTTCCTTTAAAGGGAAAAAAGTCCTTCGATCAGTAATGCAAAAGTGACAGGTAGGTGCAAGTGACTTGACAGCATTGAAGAAAATAAATCAAACTCATATTTAGAAATTACTTATTTCTGAATCTTACATCAGTCAGTTACATGGCTGTTCTGGCCCCAACCTAGAGGAATTAAGTGTGACCCATTCAGTAAGAGTGCTCACTTTATACAAACTTGTCAGTTAGATAAGGAAAAGGACATATGAAAGACTGAAAGCAGCTTAGCCAATGAGTAAAACTATCAAAAGAATTGGACTGTTCAGCTTTCAACCTTCTTCTTCTTGTGAGAATTCACTTTAATGCATACTTTATGTTCACAAAGACTGAAAATACAATTACAAAAAAGCAGCTCTAAAATAGCATTAAAGCACTCTTGTTTCAGCTATCTAGGAGTCAGCATTCATCACATACTTGCCAGTCTGTATCAACCTGTGACTCAGTCAAGGACTGAACAGGAAATGTGCATGAGCCACCGTCACTGATTCCGTGTTGTGTTCTCAGCCCTCCTCTCAAACTCTCTCAGATCCATCAGACAACTCGGATCTCACCTTCTGATTCAAAGATGTGATGCTCATTTGTATGAATACTCCTTCATGCATAGAGAGGCTCAGCACCACCTAATGGTGCTATATTAAGGTAACTTTCTTATTTTTAACCTTTTCCCTGTTTAAAATAATCAAAAAAGTGAGATAGCTGCTGTCTGCATACCCCAGTTATTTGCACAATGGATAAACTAAGAAAATTATTTAGATGAAGTACTATGATACTGACAAAGATCCAAAGATTTCAACATAAGATGCCAGATTTTCAAATGCTTCTTCTTAAAAGTGATTTAAGTAGTTATGTTTTCAAATAATTGATAGTTTCCCCATTCCAACATGCACTATTGAGCCCTTAAAAAGAATTAAGTAAATCTACATATGTTGATATGGAAAGTTCTCTAAGATACCTCATGTGAAAAACAAGGTGCAGAAGAGTGTGTAGTGGAGTACCTTGGTATAAATGGTGTATCTCTGTGTATATATTCTTGTTTTGCCTAAAAGGCAATAGGAGAATTCACAAAAGACTGGGGAAATGGGTAAATTTCCCTACCTACATGATAAAAAAATAAATTTCTAAAAGAAATTAATCGAAATATTTACTGATCTTATATAAATATCTCACTACATTTAAAGCAAATACTAATGATTCTTTCATAAAAAGTAATAATAATCAAGTTTGAAGGGAATATAACTAACCAAGACAGCTATTTTTAAAAACATGTAAATCAGATTTATCCAGATATCTTGGATTATCCAACTCCTTAATTACTGAATTACCTATTTTTTCATTCATTCATTCATTCAGAGACCAGCTTATGAGACTGGCTAATTTTTTTAATTTTTGGTAGAGATGGTGTTTTGCCATGTTGCCCAGGCTGGTCTCAAACTCCTGAGCTCAAGCCACCCCTGCCTCACCCTCCCAAAGTGCTGGGATTACAAGCGTGAGTGATGGCACCTGGCCATGAATTCTCAGTCTATTTTAATTCTACTTGAAAACTCTCCTGCCGGGCGTGGTGGCTCCCACCTGTAATCCCAACACTTTGGGAGGCCAAGGCGGGTGAATCACGAGGTCAAGAGATCGGGACCATCCTGGCCAACATGGTGAAATCCTGTCTCTACTAAAGAAAATACAAAAATTAGCTGGGCATGGTGGCTACACGGGAGGCTGAGGCAGGAGAATTGCTTGAACCTGGAAGGCGGAAGTTGCAGTGAGCCTAGATCGCGCCACTGAACTCCAGCCTGGCGACAGAGCGAGACTCCGTCTCAAAAAAAAAAAAAAAAACACAACTCTCTTTTAGGATCATCCAAACCAGGCCAACCTTCTGAGAGGCTCCCAGTCCTGGAGACACGTCAAAAGTGATGCCCAGGCTGGTCTGGTACTTACTTATACAGCCATTAGAAAGAGATGATGAGCAGAAAAGCTCTAAGATTCCACAGCCCCACACTGCTTATGGATATTAACCTCCTTGCCTCCAACCATCCATACCCATTCTTTTGTTAATCTCTTTTTACCATCATGCAAAAGAGATAAAACCAAACTCATACAGTCAATAGTCATAAGACCCTCTCCCAATTTTTTTTATTTTTTGTTTCTACTTATAATTCTTACTTTTATACTTCTAAAACAATTCTATTTACGTCAGACTCCTTTTAATATACTAAGTTTATTTACAAGTAAATTCAGATACATGGGACTTCAAATACAAAGCACTCATAAATGACCTTGAATTCTTCTTTTATGAGCCAAAGTCTTACGGCCATGGACTTCTCAGACTAGAATACTACATGAAGATGGGAGCACCTATTGGCAAAGTGTGATCAAATTTTCTGCTTTACTGAACATTATAAATTCCTTAAATACAGCAGAAAAGTATGTTCCAGGAACTTCTGGAGATCACAAAGGTACAAAGAAATCCTACTCCTTAAGGGTGATGAGGCAAGATCAAAAGTGGAGAATGAGAAGATAGGAGCACTTCAATATAACCCCAGGAGGTCATATGTCAGAGCCTATTTAATTATTTTCTTACACATTTTTACTTAAGTCCACAGAAGATTTTTTTCTTCTATGAATAAATGGCTTATTTTATAGTGTAAATCAATATACAGACTTGTTGCTGAATATGTTCAACTGTCATAAAGTAAGAGAACTGTACTAGAGCAACATGTATGTAGTATTCTCCTCAACAGCCACATTAAAAATAATCTGGATGTACTTGATGCTTTCTGTTCATAAAAAAGTGGCTGGGCTCAGTGGCTCACGCCTGTAATACTAGCATTTTGGGAGGTTAAGGCAGACAGACTGCTTGAGCCCAGGAGTTCAAGACCAGCCTGAGCAACATGGTGAAACCCCCATTTCTACAAAAAATACAAAAAGTTAGCTAGGTGTGATGCTGCATGCTTGTAGTCCCAGCTACCTAGGGAGGCTGAAGTAGAAGGATCACCTGAGCCCAAGAAGTCAAGACTGCAGTTGAGCCACGCTGTGAGCAGGAGCCACTGCTCTCTAGCCCGGTGACAGAGTAAGACCCTGTCTCAAAATAAATAAATAAATAAATAATTTTTAAAAATTAAGAACCTTACCAGTTTACTCTCCAGTTCTTAAACAGATTCACCACCACACAAACGGTCAGAGAACTTACAACTGTGTGCACCACTAGCTTGCAAACACGCATCACCAGAGTCAGCATGGTTTTACTCTCATTAGAGCCAACAGCTGCCAATGTGTTATTCCTTTTAAAATGAAAACTTGGGGCCAGGCGCAGTGGTTCTCGCCTATAATCCCAGCACTTTGGGAGGTCGAGGCGGGTGGATCATGAGGTCAAGAGATCAAGACCATCCTGGTCAACAAGGTGAAACCCTGTCTCTTCTAAAAATACAAAAATTAGCTGGGCATGGTGGTGCACGCCTGTAATCCCAGCTACTCGGGAGGCTGAGGCAGGAGAATTGCTTGAACCCAGAAGGCGGACGTTGTGGTGAGCCGAGATTGTGCCATTGCACTCCAGTCTGGGTAACAACGCGAAACTCCATCTCAAAAAAAAAAAAAATAAAAGCTTGGCTGGGCACAGTGGCTCATGCCTGTAATCCCAGCACTTTGAGAGGCCAAGGCGGATGAATTATGAGGTCAGGAACTCGAGATAGCCTGGCCAACATGGTGAAAGCCCATCTCTGCTAAAAATACAAAAATTAGCCAGGCGTGGTGGTCGGTCCTTTTAATCCCAGCTACTTGGGAGGCTGAGGCAGGAGAATCATTTGAACCCAGGAGGTTGCAGTGAGCCAAGACTGCGCCATTGCATTTCAGTCTGGGCAACAGAGTGAGATTCTGTCAAAAAAAAAAATGCAAGCTTGAGCTTAATTCATATGGCTGATTTAACTTGAAAGTAGTATAAAAATCATTTTCAAAACATATCATGTTATTCAAAGTAGAGCTCCTCCCTTCCAATAAAAAGAAAATGTCAAAGCCAATAGAAAGAACTATATTAGAGTTAACTGTGAAAAGGTGAATCTTGGAATCCACAGGACAAGCCCATTAAGATTAGTCATTCGGCTGGGCACAGTGTCTCACTCCCGTAACCCCAGCCCTTTGGGAGGCTTAGGTGGGCAGATCACAAGGTCGGGAGTTCAAGATCAGCCTGGCCAATATGGTGAAACCCTGTCTCTACTAAAAATACAAAAATTAGCCAGGCGTGTTGGTGGGTGCCAGTAGTCTCAGCTACTTAGGAGGCTGAGACAGGAGAATCGCTTGAACTCAAGAGGCAGAGGTTGCAGTGAGCCAAGACTGCGCCACTGCACTCCAGCATGGGCAACAGAACAAGACTCTGTCTCAAAAAAAAAAAAAGACTTGTCATTCAAACCTGAGAGTTATTTTACATTGTTAAAATAAGCCAGATAATGTTACCTAAAAACTAGTCATGTGAAATAAAAATAGCAAAACATATAAACTGATATAATACCAAGACAGACTAGCAATACACATTTTACTATACACCAAACCATAAACTTCACTCATTCATTCATTTGACGGAGTCTTGTTCTTGTTGCCCAGGCTGGAGTGCAATGGTGCGATTTCAGCTAACTGCAACCTCCGCCTCCTGGGTTCCAGAGATTCTCCTGCCTCAGCCTTCCAAGTAGTTGTGATTACAGATGCCCAGTACCATGCCCAGCTAATTATTGTATTTTTAGTTGAGACAGGGTTTCACCATGTTGGCCAGGCTGGTCTCAAACTCCTGATCTCAGGTGATCCACCTGCCTCAGCCTACCATAAACATCTTTTAATGTGCTATATTTGAGTTGGGTTAAACTTTTTAAATATATTATTTGGATATTTTCGGTGACCTTTTCCTATTTGACAATGTTGAGCTCTCAATAATTTGATTGTTTAAGCTGCTTCACACTTACATAAATGCGGTATACTGTTAAGTATGTTAAGTCCTAAACTATATCATATAATGAGGTAATACAAGTACCAAGCTTAACAATAATATGTATTGACTTTATAAAATTAAAGAAAATTCTGCTGAATTCTACACTGAACCTAAACATCAGCCAAATACAAAAGAGAAGAGTTTCTTTTCTTGTAAAGGCCTCATCAATAAAATCAAACCTAAATTAATACTCATAAAATCCCTGAGGTAAACACTATTCTTATAGGTATGGGAATTCAGATCAAAGAGAAAATAGCTAAAGATGCCATGGTTCATATTCAAACTCAGGATATCTTTTTCTGTGCTCTAATTACTGAGGCAGTGGAGAAGGGTTGGTTGGGCTTTGATACCTCACATTTAAAAAGAAACAAAGGGTATAATCTGAGTAGGAACTACTAATTAGCCACCCAATAATGCCCACGCCTCATCTCCACTTGTGGCCTTAGGTGATTTAGTAATCTCTGATGGGCTCATTCTCATCTGCAAAATGGGTGGAATAATTTGTTAGGTTGGGACATATCCTTAATGAACTGCTTTGTGTTTACCATAAGTCAACAAGTTCTACATTTTTAAAAAACTGAACTCCACTCTGATCCTACACCAGGACATTAAGTCTAGGGCTATACTCAAGTTCTACTTAGTGTATGGGTTTTAATTCCAGCAGCATATAAAACAATGAGAAAGGCTATAGAAGTAAAAAGTAAAGTTTAGCTCAAACTGAAATTTAGTTGCCTTGTGTGCAAACTCAGAAAGTATGGAGAATAGCTCTAACGGCAAGTATTAACACTGACAACTTGTCATATTTAAACTCTCCAGTGAACAGGTCAGACATCAGTGCCTAGAGAACATGACAATGCCCAACTGCTTTGGAGTTCAAAAAAAGGAAGAAAACCAACATTTAAGAAGCACCTATTATTGACAGGCGAGAGGCTTCCAGGTGCATTATCTTATGTAAAAGCATTAATACTAGTAGCTATGAACTACTAACAAAAATAAATAATCTAAAAGTTAAGGCCAGGTGCAGTGGCTGATAACTGTAATGCCAGCACTTTAGGAGGCCAGGGCAGGAGGAGGACTGCTTAAGTCCAGGAGTTCACAAGA